ACCCCCGGGGCCGGGCCCGGGCCTGGCCGGGGGCTGGCGGTGTCCGAGCCGGGCGGTGCCGTGGACGGATTCCCCGTGGTTTTGCCCCAGAGAAGTGCCCCCTTGGAGCGTGTGGGGTGTGGGACCGTGACCCCGGCGTCCCGATCGGCCCCGGGCGGGGATGTCTCGGGGGAAGGTGCCCGACCTCGGCCGGGGTGCCGACATCGCCGGAGAAGGGGCGATGGGTACCGTCACGGTCTCCCGCTCCCGTCAGGCCGGGCTCGCTGCCCTGCGGGAAGTTGGGAGAGCGTGGAGGGGCTCCTGCGAGGTCACGCCGGGACGCCGGCAGCCTCTCGTGTCCTCCCGTGTCCCTCCTCGCACCGCACGTTGCCATCCTGAACGTGGCCCTGTGTTGCGTATCGGCAGGTGAACGCGCTCTTCAGAGCAACTTGAGTCACTTCTCTGGTCCCCGGCAGCACAAAGACGCCGACATTTGTGTTTGCCACTTCCCTGCCAGTATGTGGAGAGTTGTCCCCGGCCTTTTTCCCCCAAATCTGCCAGTTTTTCCCATCTCTGACTCAAGATTGCCGCAAAACTGCTGTTCAGTGTTGCACAGGAACAGTCTGAGCCTTGGGGCTTTTCTCCTCGTCTTTCCATTAGCGATGGAAGCTGCGCGTCAGTAACGTGGGTTGAAACATAACGACAACGCAGGTGCCCGTTAGCACCAGTGAGGCCAGTGTTCGTGTGGAGGCACCGAATAAATTGCTCCCATGGAAGCTCTGATTCACCCCCCTTCTGAAAGTTTAATTCCACGTCTGAGGTCAGAGCTTTGACAAAAAAAGCAGCGTTAGCATTTTTCTCAGTGCCAGCTTCTTGCCGTGCCTCATGCATTAGGGTAATTCATCCTGCAGCGTGCAAACATCGGGCCGGCGCTGCCCTACCGCGAGCAAATTACTTCCTTGTACATTTGCACTCCCTTATGAAAAGCAGCGTTAAAAGCAGGAGGGAGGAGCGGTGGGGATGGTCTGCGTCGTCTGTGTGAAACTTCAGCGTGGTTTCAGCAGGCTGTGAGCGCAGGGTGGGCTCTGTCCCCCCGTCACTAACTTGGGCTGTCCTCTTAACCCCGCAGATAATCCGCGTGCAGTCGCCGGAAGGAGTGAAGCGCATCACGGCCACGAAGCGAGAAACGGTGGCAACGTTCCTCAAGAAGGTACCCCGAGCCTCTGCTGCGCCTTCCCCGCTCGCCTGCGGGACGAGGCAGGGCTGCTGCGGCTCAGCCTGCGCAGCAGCTCTCTCTCATGGCAGATACGCGCTTCACCTCGCCGGGCAAATGTGCTGACGGCAGCGTGGATTGGCGCGCCTTGTGGAAAACGGCATTTTTATTGGTGTAGCCAAGACCAGTTTTCTCATTGCTCTTCCAGAGGGAAAATAACAAAATTAAAGAAGAAAGCTTACCGAGCTTTTCAGTTGGAGTTTCCTGGGGTGGGAGCTTTGCTGGGGGAGGACGCGTTTTTAGCATTCTCCCAAAGAAATGGCAGCTGGGGAAGCAGAGGCTGACAGCAACACAGGAAAGCTGTTTGATAGTCAAAGCCTGCTGCAAGGGACTGGCCTGTTCAGGCACAATCCAGTTGAAACTCAGCTGCTTTGAATATCATTTGAGTGTGCTTTGTGTGCTGCTGGTTTTCCAGTATGGTTTTGGAGAGAGCAAGGAAGGAATTCAGGTGAGATCTTAAGGTGATGTGAGAGCCTCCAGGGTCTCCTGGGAAAGATTTCCACCCTGGGATGAGGAGAACGAACTGAGTGTTGGAGTTGTTGCATTTGGAGTTGGCTGTAGCTTGTTCTTTGGTCTGATACAACTGCTCAATGTTTAAAGTTTGCTATTTAAGAGTGAGCAGTTCTCCATTTCCTTCCCTCCTGGAACTCCGCTGTAACCTGGAACCCTCAGATTAGGATTTCTTTGCTTCATAAGAGAAGTACTTTGTGTTCCTGTGCCTGAAGGGCCATTCTTTTAGTAAGCTAGATTTCCTTTCCCCCTGTGAGGGGGAAGGGGAGCAGACTGAAACCTGCTGCTGTTTTTGAGTCATTTGCTTTGTTGGAAGCTTGGGCCCAGACCCTGACAGCAAATCCCCACCTGACCAAGCGAAAATCCTGCTGGATTTCAGGGCTGGGTCAGAGACACCGGCTGCGGTCTCTGAACAGTCTCACCCAAGGAAAAAAAGCGTTGCTTTCAAAATCTCTGGAACCTGTGCAAAACAAGCTGCTCAGTTTCAAGGGTTCATATTACCCGAGGCAGCGTGGAACAATCGTGCAGCACTTACCGTCAGAACAAAAGCATCAGCCCTCACAAAAATTGCCTGTTGGTCTGAGGAAAACTATATCCTCCTGCTGAGCTGAGTACAGGAAATGTTTGGGTTTCTTTCCTGACATAGGGTTTATTTGAAAGAGAAAAGTTGCCAATTTTACCACCTAAGATCTGTGTGTATTAATAGCTGTGGATTTTAACACTGAAATGTTAATCCATATGGTGGATTTTGTATTTAGCTAGATGGCTGTAATTAAAGAGACATCAGATTGCTGCTTCTATGCTAGCAATTAACTTAGATCTCCTCCTTGACGACTCCAGAGAAGCTGCAAAAGAAGTGTGTGAGAAAGCACATTGCAGAGTGATAAGGGCCTCTGTCATCTTCTCTGTCTTTTGTAGCACATCCTGGGTGAGAGTACTGAAAAAGCAAACTCTCAGGTGCATTCAGGTTAGAATCGAGTTAGGAACAAACTCGAGCCTTTTCTTAATGTATTGTGGAATTTCTCTCCCGCCAAAAAATTGGTGAAGTCTGTGGCCTGATGAGCTAACATTTAATTCTGGCAGGTGTAACGCTTAAGTGGCCAAATGTGAAAATTGCTATTGCTGTGAAGAGGCATTTGGCTGATAAAGAGTAAAGCAGCCTTAAACTGAACTGGTAAGAGGATGAGCAGGGAAAAAATCTGCCTGGGGACTGAGAGGTGGTTACTGTGAGGGTAAGTTCCATCAGGAGAAAAGAGGCAAATGGAGGAAAACAGAAAGGAGAACAGCAGGAAGAGC